TTTTACTGTTCCCTTTGTGTGTTTCCCCAATCTCTCCTCTCACCCCATGCTGTTGCTGGACCCATATTCTACAGCAGTTCTCCTTGTCTGTGCCCTCTATGTTTGTTTTGTTTAAAAATGGGACTTCCCTTTCTCTACTCAAAAAACCCAGGAAAGGAAGATAAAACTCACTTCCATGCCAATCCATGCCTCTCAAGTGAGAAATGTAATTGCCTCTAAAACAGGACACTGTATGTTTGCCTGAAAACTGGCAAAAGGGAGCGGTTTAATGAAGGATATGTGGTCTGAGCATTTCTTTCCAATTGGATAGAGCACAAACAAAAAAGTTAGGGATACCAGCCTTCAGGTGGGACCTGGGGATGCCCTGGAATTATAGCTTATCTTTAGAGTATAGAGATCAGTTCCCCTGGAGAACATGGATGCTTTGGAGAGGGGACTCTGTGGAATTGTACCTGGGAACCATAAGTTGTTTCCCACTAAAACTAATGGGGGGGGGAATCACAAATTAGGTTTTGGTGGTGGGGAGAAAGAATTTGAGCAGGTTTACTAAAAATATTACAGAAAAAACTAACCTTGGCCCCGGTCACAAGTGCCGGAAAACGCGGGGGGGAGGCGTGGCTATTTGCAGCACAGCAATTAGTCACGCGACAACGCAATCAGACGCATAGGCGGCAACCCACGGTTCCGGCCCTTGCCGTGTGTGCAGCAACGAAGATGGCTGGAGAGAAAAGCTGCGCCGGCACGATCACACCAAGGGAGTCTGGAGGCATCCCATGGCAAACTGTTTGCTACTACCTTCGAGGAGGTATTTTTTTATCGCACATTTTCGGCAGCATGCCACGGGTTGCCCATGGGTGCACTCCACTTGCCAGATGTTGTGGTGTGATTGCGCCCAGAAAATCCACCATCCAATCGTGGCTCTCCTGCAGCAAATTCGCCGTGTGAATGGGGCCCTTAATGGATATTTTGTTCATATCCCTAATCTGCACCCCTTTGAGCAAAGGCGCCCGGGATTGGGTATTGTTATGAAGAGCTGTACTCTAAATAAATTGCATAACTTAAGCTTTTTTCTTTTTTGTATTTCAGTCAAAGGCCTTTGCCCTATTTACATGTTACACTTGTGTAAACAATCCAGCCTAGCTGATAGATACAGCAACAAATATTAACAGCTTGTTCAGCTTTTACTAGCCTGTCTATGTATAATATGCCTTAGCTGTTTGTGGCCTGAAAGGACATTTGGAGCCAACTTCCATCAAAATAAAAGAGGAGTCTAGTGGCACCTTAAAGAAAAATAAAAATTTGTTTCTGTCAGAGCTCATGTCACATAAATTTATTCTGGAATAAATTATATAGAGGAATTTCAGACAGACAATATAATCTGGAAGAGGAATGGTTCCCAAATGGTTTCTGGTCTGTCTTTTCAGACAGAACCGTTTTAGAACCGGTTCCCTACTGGAATATATTTGTAATTTCAGACACAAACACTTATGTCCCATTTAGGAAACGGGGCTGAAGCGTTTTACCTGTCAACCGCTTCCAAGTAGTCTTCAGTTTCCTCTCCTGGTTCCGATGTGCTTTTTCTCGCTGTTTTTCACCCGCGCAGGCGATCTCCGGCTTTTTTTTAATGTTCGCTTTATAGCGTTATAGCGCTATAATGCTATAACGCAACAGCATTATATCAACCCCATTGGAATGCCTGGAGTGTTTTGTTATAGTGCTATAGCACTGTAGTGCTCTAAAGCGAATGTTCAAAACAAAAAAAGCCAGAGATCGCCCACACGGGTGAAAAACAGCGGAGGGAAAGCGGTGCGGTCTGAAATGGCAAACCGCTTCAGATCCAGCTCTTTACCAGAAGGGGAAAGCCATGTGTGAAATGGCAGCCCTATACCGGTTTACTCCACGATGGATCAAAAACGGCTTCAAAACGGGTTAAAAAGGGTAATGTGAAATTCCTCATAGTCTCTAAGGTGGTTACTGGACTCTACATATATCGTGCTGCTACAGACCAACCTATCTGGAACTTTCATAAAAGTTCCCTTTCGAACGGTTGTGTGGAATTTGCCACTGGTAACTAGGCAAGTATCTATTTACAAGCTTGAAACAAACATTATTAGGCAGTAATTCTAGGGGAGGAGCCATGTGAGACCCATACCTGGATGGCCCAGGCTAGCCTGAACTTGTCAGATCTTGGAAGCTAAGGAGAATCAGCCCTGGTTTATATTTGGATGGGAGACCAGCAAAGAAGTCCAGGCTCACTAAGCAGAGGGAGGCCATGGCAAACCACCTCTGAAAGTCTCTGGCCTTGAAAACCCTACAGGGTCGCCATAAATTGGCTGTGACTTGATGGCACTTTCCACCACAACCAGCTGTGTCAGTCTTTCAGCAAAAATCAACAGGAGTCTTGTGGGACCTTAAAGACTAACAAATTTCTATTCCAGCATAAGATTTTATGGAGTGGGAAGGCATCCTCCAACAGAATTTGCATATTATTACATTGAAAGGATTTTCTTTGGAAGCATCAATAACTTTAAACAGGGATAGTTTCGTAGAAAAAGAGCTAGGGGAACTCATTAGCATAACTCATTAGCATATGCCACACCCCCTGACATCAGGGGCCCGGCGGTGAACCTGCAAGGCCGGCGGGAGTGCGAGGAAGCCCCGCCAAGGCCCTCCCTGGCCCCAGGCAGGCAGGGGTGGGGAGGGGTGGGGAGGAAGCAACTTACCCTCCCTCTTCTCCTGCCTCCTCCTGGCTGAATGAGGGCCGGAAGCGGGGCGGCCGGAAGCAAGGGGCGGGGCTTCGTCATGTGCCCCGCCCCCCGCACCTCACCCGGGGAAACTGCGATCCCTCACGATCCCCCCCGAAATAACCTCTGACTTTAAACTCACTCATCTCGTTGTGAATTACAAAACTGCTGTAGGTAACAAAGGCAGCAGTGGGACGAGTAGCATTTCTCTGATATGCCTTTTTCTGTGTCAGTCTGCATTAATGATTTCTTTTCTCTGTGTGGGAGAACTCAGTTATAAAATATCCCTGCTTGTGTTTTTCACAATGACTTTTCTGGCAACATATTAAGAAGAAGGACCAATAGTTGTATTTAAAAGCAAAAAAAAAAAAGCTTTTTTGCTGACTCATGAAAACTCATATTGAAAGAAACATTGCTGCTCTTAAGGTATGCCTGGACTTTTGCATTCTCTAAGGGACACAGACTGTGAGATATACATGTGATGAATTTTGTATGTCAGGCAGAAGAGGTGTAGCACTTTGAATTTCTGTGTGAACAAAGAATGTCCACATGAGAATTTTGTAGAATGCTGCTGACAAAGGTAGAAAACCATGACAAAGCTACGCGAACAACTACATTTAACTTGCTTGTGGAGCTTCCGTTCTTTGACAGTCCACTGTAAATTCTGGAGTAGATTAGTATAAGGTTATTCAAGGACAGTCTGAAACATTGGCCTGGTTCAATGAATGGTGTTGTTACCATTCATTACACCACATTACACCATTCATTACACCACAAGAGCATTATGCTCTCTCAGCTAGGGTTGCGCCAGGTCCCTCGAACAAGGTGGTGGGAGAGGGGGGGGGTGAACTTACTGGGAGTGAGAAAAAACACGGAAAATAAATGTGACATGCCTAAGTGACCCAGAAGTGGCATAGGCATGTTGAGAACATGGGGGTGATGCCCTGGTTTTGGGGGGGAGGAATTCCCCCCTGCTGGCCAGTGGCAGAGAAGTAGGGCCCAAAAGAAGGAGAACCCTGCCCCCACCGGGGGGGGGAGTCAGGCATCCCTATTCTCAGCAGTAGCAAGGATGTCCCCACATTATGGAACAGAGAGCAAGCATAGCAAGCTATCTAGAGACCATAGTGACACTACCCAAACATATCATGTTGCAACATATGAATGATGCCCTCTCCCTCTTTGTACCGGCCATATATGGAATCATCCAGCCAGTGAACCAGCAGGCCTTCTTCGTGTCACCTTGTCTGCACCCACACACAGAAGAGAAAAGGGGGAGGAGCAATGAAAGGCTGTTGGCAGCAGTGTGGAATCCACAGAAGAAGCCCTGTGACAACCGAGCTCCTATGAACTCTGCAGGCGGGAGTTTGTATCTCCCCTTGCGGTATCTTACCATTTTGACAAGTGGAAGGAAGCGTGGCTGATTATTGTATTACGAAGTTTACTAGTGTTCTGCATCAATACTTTCGAGTCGCTGGAAAGGGTGTGACTGAAACAAGCCAGCAGTGTGACAGCGTGTTCTGCGGGCACATTGATTCAAATTGCAGTATCAGGTCAGACCTATAATCAGTCCTATTCAGCATTCTGTCTGCACACTTAACAATAGTAGACCTCTCCTGATGTCTTGCAGTAGCAACTGGAAAGATAAAAAATTGCCTCCCTTCCCTCATCTATTCTATTTGGACAGGAGCTGTGGCTCAGTCGTAGAGCATCTGCTAGGGATACGGATTAGGTTGTAGGTGTTGTGAAAGACCTCTGCTTTGAGAGCTGCTGCCAGCCTGAGAAGACAGTATTGACTTTGATGGGCCGATGGTCTGTTTCAGTATAAGGGCAGCTTCATGTGTTTATGTACTCCACCTGCAGAGGTCGTTTGGGGGGGGGGGAACGCAGGGGAACGCAGTTTTCCCGGGTGAGGTGCAGGGGGCGGGGCACATGATGAAGCCCCGCCCCCGGCTTCCGGCCACCCCGCTTCCAGCCCTCATTCAGCCAGGAGGAGGCAGGAGAAGAGGGAGGGTAAGTTGCGTCCTCCCCGCCTCTCCCCACCCCTGCCTTCCTGGGGCCAGGGAGGGCCTTGGTGGGGCTTCCACAGACTCCCGCTGGCCTTGCAGGTCCACCACCGGGCCCCGATGTCAGGGGGTGTGGCATATGCTAATGAGTTATGCTAATGAGTTCCCCTAGCTCTTTTTCTACAAAATGACCCCCCTGTGACAAAATCAAGATCCACTTTGTAGGCTAACCCTTTGTATTATTCTGCCTCAGAATGTGTGTCTCAGGTGTATGAAAACACATATTTCCGAGGAGGTGATATTGCTAAGGTTTTTACCCCGAATGTGGACTACTGCCAAATAGTGTGCACATATCACCCAAGATGTCTATTGTTCAGCTACCTGCTGGGAAACTGGACAGCACATGCTGCAAACAGGTAACGCTCAGATCTTTGTGTGTGTGTGTGTGTAATCCCATTAATGGACCCAGGATATGCTAGAAGAACACACGATACTGTAGCCATGCTGAGACTAAAAAGAACTGGATCTGGTTAGTGTTTGGATGGAAGACCACCTGGAAATCCCATGTAAGTCACTTTAGGTTCCACAATGGGGGGAAAAGGTTGGTTATAAAAGCAGTAGGTGTGGAAGTGGCTTTACAATGTAACTTAAGCATAACTTATGCAAACAAGAGAAATTCTTGTTATAAGCGGTTTATGATTACATTTCAGCAGTAGGCGAGAGAGCCAGTTTGGTGTAGTGGGATTGTGAGTTCAGTGTAGTGGTTAAGAGGGGCAGGGTTGATTCCCTACTTCTCAGCGTGAAGCCAGCTGGGTGACCCTGGGTCAGCTGCAGTTCTCTCAGAGCTCTCTCAGCCCCACCTACCTCGCAGGGTCTCTGCTGTGGGGAGAGGAAGGGAAGATGATTGTAATGTGCTCTGAAACTCCTTTGGGTAGTGAAGGGTGGGGTATAAAACCCCTCCTCCTCCTCCTCCTTCCCTTCTACAGTTAAAATTCCTTTCTCCCTACTTGGAGAAAGAAGAGAGAGGATCCAGGTGAACTAACAGGTGAGAAGAGAGGTGAGAGAGAAGAAAGTGAGAAGAATCCCCAGATGCTGGCAATATTTCCAAATAAGGAACAGATGGGAGGTCTTTGGAGGGGTAATGGAGGCAGTCTTAATTACCTCACTGAGCAGGGATCCATGGTAGGAAATTCCACACTCCAAATTAGATTACCTGGGAGTGTCTTGGTAGCAATATGATGAAATGAGCTTTTGTTCTTTCTGAAGCTTGATGACCAAGATGGACATACCCTTTTGTATTAAAATACTCCTAATTTTTTTGGTTATTGTGTGTGTGTGTGTATGCCTGGAAGTCATGATTGACTTCTGGCGACCCCTAGTGGGGCTTGGACATTCAGAGAGGTGGCTTGCTATTGCCTGCCGCTGCATCCCAGCCCTCATATTCTTTGGAGGTCTCCCATCCAAATACTTGCCTGGTTGGCCCTGCTTAGCTTCCAAGATCTGACAAGATTGGGCTTGCCTGGGCTATCCAGGTCAGGGCGTATTAAAATACTCTTGTTTAGGTACTGTGAAGTCCTAAATAATAGTTTGAGGGAATGCACAGAGGAAGGAGCATGTTTCTGAGGCTACCATTGTTTCCAGAGAATGTGATAAGGTTATGTGGAAATGCATCAGATTCTACTCTGGTTCTCTGCTGTGACAAATTGCACAGAAAAGCAGGCTTTTAAAAATGCTGCTTGTATCAAAGAGTAGAGAGTTCAAGAATTAATCTTCCCTGGAGAGAAAAGCTTATGTGATTGGCTGCTCTTCTTGCTCTCTGAATGGCCAACATAAGCTGAGAGAGGAAATAAAACAGCTGATCTGGAGGGAAAAGAGGTCTTTCACAATTTGGTCTTTTCGTTGTTTGGTCTTTTGCAGTCTAACATTTGGATTGGTAGCCAGAGGGATTTGGCTTCTGAGGGAAGAGATATTTGGGAGTCAGTGTTTTCTGACAAGCAATAGTCAGAAAAGTACTTCTACAAAAGAGAAGAGAAACCCCATTGTCTTAGATGTATTAAAATTGCTCTGAGGGAGAACTTTAGATTCTCAGGAAAGCTACAGAACAGCCTTATACAGACACAAAGGGTACTGGAGAAGGATTTGGCAGAAGGTCTGGGTAGTTAGAATGAACTCCCATACAAGCCAAATAGTAAAAGGAGTTATTGTTTTTTAGGGACAAAGAGAATAACTTCCTGCCAGTGAAAGGGGTTGGGAAGAGAACCCTGGTTTGTGATAAAGAGGAGAAGCTTTGACACCTCAGGAGTTAGTGAAAAGCTGTATTATCGAAAGGAAAACCTAGAACTTTGAAGGAAGAAATCTAGAAACATCAATAAGAACTGTGTTAGTGCTGAAATATACTAAACATAGTACCTCTCAAAGAAAGAAATAGTCTTGAAACTAAACTACAAATACATTCTCTTGAATGTTCTATATATTATTAGAAAGTTTTTTACCTCAGCAATCTCAAAACTTTGACTAATCCTATTTACATATATTCCCTGCTTGTTTAATAAAATCTTTATTCTGTTTTTGAAAGTTAATTTTCCTCAAGTGCCATTTCTCAAGGGTTTAAAGAAAACTCGACAGCTCCTGTATTTTCAGTAGAGTTCCTGAGATGAGAAAAAGCCTAAACTAAATATCTAATCATAGGGTGGGACAGTCTTTTATGACAAAGAATATATACACACTAGTGTAGGGCAACTCAGTCATTGAGGGGAACTGAAGATTTGGTGGGAAAAATCTGCCAGACAGTTGGGGAGATATAGGAGTTCGTTGTATCTGCCTTTGTATTGTAAATGACCTGAAACTAATTTTTATGAGTCTTGTGTGATGGCACAATTGTTTCCCCCGCTTCCTTAATACCAGGTTCACATGCCTCCTGAAAGACCATGATAATCAAATGTTGCCAAAAATACCTCTGGAAGGAGTCATCTCAGGACATTCCCTGAAACAGTGCCCTCAAGTCACTGGTAAGACCAGCTATTCAAAGCTGTTGAAGGACTACCACTCTTGGTTAATTTTGATGGGATCCAAGCAACTACATTTTACATAAATCTACTACGGTATTGGTCTTAATGGGAGCTCGCACTCTTGATAATTAAGTCCCCATCAGGCAACTCACAGCTGATATCTGATTAAAAGTTGTTGTGGGGGACAGTTGTAAAACTTAACGTCTAATCAGGCTTGGGGTGGGGGGGGGAGAGACAAAATGAAATCAGTCAGCCGAATTCCTTGCTCTGGAAGGAAGGAATTTTCCCCTCTTCTTGCCCTGAGATCTTCAGAAGAGACCCTGTTGCATGTGCTCCTGCCATCTGAAGCTTGGCAGGTGGCAATCCAGTCTAGGTCCTTTGCGGTAACAAAACCCCTTGGCTTGTGGGATCCCCTTGAGACAAATGCTGGCATGAATATCTTCAGGTGGGTAGCCATGTTGGACTGAAGCAACAGGACAAAATTAGAGTCCAGTGGGGCACCTTTAAGACCAACAAAGTTTTATTCAAGGTATAAGGTTTCGTGTGCATGCACTCTTCTTCAGATACTGAAGAAGAGTGCATGCACACAGAAGCTTATACCCAGAATAAAACTGTTGGTTTTAAAGCTGCCATTAGGGCTGCCAAGCCGCGGCAGGGGATCCGCATGTCTTCACAGGATCCCTGCCGCGGGGGACAGCAATACGCGTTGCACCGCCGTCGCCAGGATGTGACGCTACGCGTCGCTCTGGCAACGGGACTCCAAACAGCCCCGTTGCCAGAGCGACGCGTAGCGTCACATCCTGGCGATGGCGGTGCAACGCGTATCGCTGTCCCCCATGGCAGGGATCCTGTGAAGATGTGCGGATCCCCCGCCGCGGCTTGGCAGCCCTAGCTGCCATTGAAGTTGAATGAATATCTTCATTAGTCTGTTTAAACAGACTGTTTCCTTGCAGAAGGTATCTTGGTTGGTCTTAAAGGTGCTCAAACTTTGTTCTCCTTGCAACAAAGTTATTTTGCTCCCTTGCAGCCACTGACAAAATATTTGACAATGCTGCACATCAGAGGCCATTTGATAAATATTTCAACAGGAATAATAATGGTCCGTGTGAATCCGTTTTCATCCTGTCTTTGATACCGTATTCTTTTCTCCAGCTTGCAGCAAGGAAATCTATGAAGGACTGGATATGCAAGGAGGAACAACTTATAATGTAACCATTGAAGACAGTTACCTGCATTGCCATAGAAGATGCACCAACGCGATTCACTGTCAATTTTTCACTTATGTCTCGCCATTAAATCAAGCTGCAGACCTTCGGTAAATAATGTTCAGACTCTTAACATTTTTTTTTTAAACCCTGAACAATAGCAACGGGTGGCTTGAGCCTATGGACCAGTTTTCACAAATCTTAGCTTGCCTACAGCAGCTAAAGCGACACAGCAGGCGAGGCTGGAATAGTCTGCTCGGGTACCTTTTTACTAGAGCATCTATAAACTGACCATGGAATGAAATAAAACAGGTTGTTGCAGACACAGTTCACACGGTACAGGAATGCTGGGCAAGGGAAAGAAAGTGCTGGTGTCGTAGCATCAATGGTTCCTGCTAAACCAGGGTTTGGTTTGATTCCAGGCCCCTTCTTGGCACCAGGAGATACATTGTCCATTGAGTCAGGATCTGTATGCTTGATCATATAAGGCAAAGGTTTTTTTAAAGTTTTTTTTATTAAATATAAAAAACAGTTAAAAATAGGAAAGCAAGTCCTGGTGTTTATGCAGGGCAAACAGGGAGGTGTCGATTTTATGTGCTGCTGAGGCTTCCAAGAGGGGCATCCATTTTTCTTGAAGATTGTCAGGAACGGGTTGATTTTCGGATCGTAGGATGCTAGTGGAAACTTTGTCCTGTAAAAAGAAGTCCCACAGTTTCAGGAACCAGTCACTCAATAGCAGCGTCTTCTTGGATTTCCAATGAAATGCAATAACATTCCTAGCGGCCGCAAGACACAATTCTATCAACTCTTTCATAAGCCCATTGGGGGATATAAGGCAAAGTTAATGACAATTCCTGCATCTACAGCAGTGTATTAACTTTTGCCCATGGTTTGGGATTTCAGCAGCTCTCCACGCTCCAGAGGAAAAGTCAATCTCTCTTTTCTCTGAGGGTACTTTTGAACATCTGACAGCAACAAATGTCTGAGTCTTACTTCAGTGCTACTGAACAGACATGAAGAGAACTAGCAACACCCACCAGTAGTCTCCTGAATACAGTTTCAATTCAGTCCACTTACTCAAACCAATTTCCTATTTCATCTCGAACTCTATTCATGCCTTTTCATCCAACAGCTAATCCTTTCTACTTCCTTATATAGCTGTCTTCCAAGAAGATCCAGAATTCCTGACTGAGATATGTTCCCTTTAAAGTTTCCTTTGGTATGGTGATGACAGCAGTGATGACAATCTATTTCTGGCAATCACATTTGTGGACCATAGTCCTGAAAACATAAAACATTGCATAATGAGTACTATGGAAGTTTCTCTTGACAGAGCAAATATGTGATGTTTGAGGTAGCTTTCCAGTATGTACAAGCTGATGAATGGTCTTAGTTCAATTCCACCCTCTTCCACATGAAGCCAGCTGGGTGACCTACAGTCAGTTACAGCTCTCAGAACTCTCTTAGCCCTCCAAAATTAAGTCTAGCTCACTAAAAAGACCTAGCTCTTAAGGCTGCCAGACAAACTTTGGATCTCCTGGCTATACCACACGGAATGCCATACGATAATTAATTAATTAATTAGTTTCCTCAGTCTTCTATTTAAGCTAGGGATTGCCAACCTTCTTTTTAAAATTGCATGTAATGATTGGAAAATGTGGAGAGACTTGGCCCGTAGAATCGCCAAGAGTCGGACACGACTGAATGGCTAACAACAACAATGAAAAATATCCTGAGCCACTCCCCCTCAGGCATATTACTGAGTTTTGTGCTGTCCCAGAAACGGAACATGGACTAGGAAGAGCAGCAGAAATGATCAGCCAAGCAGTACAAAGAAAAACCCTATGAAATAAACATTTTTTTAAAAAATAAAAAAGCCTAGAGCAGGTATTTTCCATGATCTTTTATAGGGTCATCTAGAGCAGGGGTCCCCAATGTTGTTGAACCTGTGGACACTTTTAGAACGTTGAGAGCAGGGAATGGATGCCGTCACAGATTAGCTGCCATGGGGGACTGGGGCCAGCATTTGCAAGCCAAGATTCCTCCTGCTACGAAGTCAGTTGTTTCTGGGCTCTCCTGCTCAAAGGAGGTAGAGGAATGCCAGGATTGGCTCTGTGCTTTGGGGAAGAAACAAGTGGGTACCTGGAAACCCATAGATGAGTGCCATGGTGTTCACAGGCTCCATGTCGAGGATCATACCTCTAGACAATGGAGATGCTACTCTGCAGCAGCTGGTGAACTACCTCGTGGAGACCCCTGATTTAAGCTAAATATGTCAGGACACTGACAACAACAAACGTGTCCAACTTTCCACTCATAGGATGTCGCTGCAGCTCTGTCCGTGAAAGCCACGTAAGAACACAAGAAGATCCAAAGGTTAATTCAGCCGTGCATTTGTTTTCCTAACAGAGACCATTCAGATGTTTCTGGTAATGTGCAATGCGACAGTACTCCCTCTGCCCTTGTGTTTAATTCCAGCATCTGATGTCCAGAAATGTATTGACATCATTTAGTCTTATGGCTGACAGTTATGGATAGACTTATTCTCCATAAGCAGGGGCAGCCCATCCACTAGGCAACTGACTAGGGTACCAGAGAAGTGGGGAATGCCAGTGGCACCAACAGTTGCATAGGGCCCCTGGTCCTGATGTCACCACTTGGGTCAACTGGCTGTGCAGCAGCTCCAATTGCCTGTGTATCTGCCGGCTGGCTGGCCACCAACCTAGGGTACATTTGCTGGGTTGGCTAGTGAGCTAGCAGCTTGGGTACCCACCTGGCTGTCCAGCAGCTCTGAACATAGGTGTGCCCACAGCTTGGCTGGCTGGCAGCTCTGGGTGTGCCTGCTAGGCTGGCCGGCCAGTGGCTCTGGCACCTGCTTGGATGGACATCAGGTCAGGTCATGCATGTGCCTTGCTGCTGGCCTGCAGCTTGGGGTGCGTGCACACCTGGCCCAGATGGCGGGGTGTGTGCCTGGCCTGGCTGGCCTAGGGTGGCCATAGCCTTCAGGCCAGTCCTGCCCAATCCTATTCTCAACCCAAATCTTGCAGTAGTGAATACACAAGTTCATTATTGTCCTTCGGCCAATCAATTTTATGGGGTGATCCTGAGTTCTAGCATGATGAAAGAGTCTACTTTTTGTCCCATTGCATATCCACAAGTGGCTTTTCAAAATGGACAACCTGAAGGGTCAGATCCGGCCAGCTTTCCCCATCAATTTCACTGTATTTTCCACCTTATTACTGTTGGAAAGTTTCTGGAACCTAATTTGAATGAGGGAAAGCTCTATGGTTTCAAGAGGGAGGGGGGCTTGCTGCTCTGTACTGTTCTTTTCCTCCCTCCGGAATCAGCCTCTCCCTTCACTCTTCTTAACAGTCATTCATGGCATCAACTGTCACCTTTTCTTCTTCCTGCTCAGTCTCCTTATTACTGTCTGCTATACTGAGGTAAAGTTAATGGAGCCTCCTAAGCAATAGCCTGGGTGTTGTTTAAACAGCTTTGTAAATAGTTATTTAACACTGCTTTCTTGAATACGTGTACTCTATAGAAATTTCTCCATGCTGGATTAATTCAGTCTCTGCTAATTATTTCTAAGGAGGTGGAATACCCTCCACCTGGTGAGTACTGAGGTATTACTCCGACAGAAGGATGGCCTTTCCCTCACTAACAATTACAGTCCCTGTTCCATGTTGCTCTTTTGCCATGCAGGTCCCATGACCCCCATCATAGCCATTCTGGTGGTCAAAGGGGGATCCCCTCCTGTGTTTTTCACTGGAACACTGGCTGGATCTGTGCCTAAGACTCAAAGGTTGTTACCGTATTTTGCAATCCACCTGCTGACTGACTAGATAGCTTCCTTTTACTAGGAACCATTGCTGTTAGACTGAAATATTGTTAGCATTCAAACCTTGTTATATTTTGTAATTGGCTTATTTTTTTCTTTTTTTAATATATTTTATTTTTATACTGTTTTACAATGCACATAGCTCGATAACACATGACCATAACAGGGAGATATAGATTACAGCAAGAAAATAATTGGAAACATTGGAAGAGTACAATTTATAAATATAACATGACAGTCCCGGCTGTTAACTATTCTTGCTCTGTTAACTCTATGTTAGTACATTACTCTGTGGTTACTTTGGTGGACCTCATGAGCCTTAGTGCACCATGTTGAGGTTTAGTGTGATAGAGACCGAACGTTTCTGATACTGAATAGATCTATCATACTTATAATCTGTCTTGAGTTCCAGTGAGAAATGAATGTAAATGAAAATAAATAATAAGGTTCTCAGCTTTCTATTTAAGCTATGCATCAACTTACTAGAACTTTCGGACAATTTGTCCCACTTGCTTCGCAAAGGGGGCCACTGCAGTTCTCTTAGCAGAAACAATATATATGCATCTCTAAGGGGTCTGAAGACTTTGGGCCGCCCACTGTATGGATTTCTAAATATTATTTTTCTTCTCATTCTCATTCAGCAAAAAATGCTTCCTGAAGTATAGCACCACAGGAACACCAGCCCAAATAAAAGTGCTTAGCAAAGTTGTATCAGGATTCTCACTAAAACCTTGTCAACTTGCTGAAACAGGTAAATGTGTACTTTAAAGGAAATGAAATAGATGGTATATTTTAGGCTATTTTAATGCGATGCAAAATTTGTATGTGTTATCTCATACGGCAGGCAATGCAGAACGCTGCAGGGCTCCTGTAGGCACATATAAGGGGTGTGGATATGAATAGAATTATAATTATTTTAAACATTATTCTTAATCACTGGTAAAATACACTTGGAGTTTACAAAATGCTTTACAAATTTTACTGCATTTTGTTAAGTTACTTTCACAACAATCCTGCAAGGTTGGTTAGGCTGAGAAATAGTGACTTCTAGGCTGAGTTGAGAGTTTGGATTTAGGAGTGACAAAACGGGACATGGTCGGTCCTCGTGCACTATCGCAGCGTACCATTATAATAAATAAAATAAATGGCATTGCAGCATTCTTTGGAAACCAGCACTTTCTACAAGAGTCTGAAATTTTGGAAGATTCGTGGAGAATTTAAGGTTCTACAGTTCCCCGGCTGAAGTGCTTATAGATTGGTTTCCTTATATACTTATCCCATTTACAACATGCCTTTCTCAAGGAGAATCAAGTTGGATCACAACTAAAAACACAACTAAAAACAATGCAATAAGAGCAATATAATACATAAACCAACAATGCCATTTTCCACGTGGGGACAGGCTTGTGTTGTTTTCCCGTTGCTGCTGTGGCATCCAGTATAACACAGTCACAGCAGGGCTTCCAAATGGCAGGTTTCTCCATTGTTTCCCTGCTCCAGCCCCCAGTGCCCGCTACACTTTTCCATATTGGCCCTTTCTGCACCTGTATTTTGCCTTGGTTGTTGAGCACATCCTATGCTTCCATTCTGCATTCCCTACCACTTTCACTTTGTGTCAGAGCTCTCTCTTGTTTCTGCATTTGTTTTACATGACGGAGTGAGCTCCCGTCTCTCGTTCCAGCTCCTGCCAACCTAGCAGTTTGAAAGCAAGAAATTGCAAGTAGATAAATAGGTACCACTTCGGTGGGAAGGTAACAGCGTTCCGTGCGCCTTGGTGTTTAGTCATGCCGGCCACATGACCACGGAAATGTCTTTGGACAGCGCTGGCTCTTCGGCTTTGAAACGGAGATGAGCACCACAACCCTAGAGTCGGACTTGACTGGCTTTCGAGCAAGGGAACCTTTACCTTTACCTTTTACATTCAGACTGCTTCCAGCACACTGTTGCCCCACAGCTACCGAAACGCCTTTGGCTGTGATTCTTTGTTCTCATCCTCTTTCAGATCGCTAATCCTTTCTAAAGTAGAATTGTTTCTGCAGGCATTTAAGTGCTGCCCACTGCCCTCCCCCATTTCTGCCTCCCTCTTTTTAGATTGACGCTCCCTCCCCATTCTGTTTTCTTTCCCTCCTTCTCCAAAGACAAAAGAAAACATGTCTTCCCACTCAGGCAAACTTTAAAAAAGCCAGAGAGAGCATAAGAAGGGATCAGTAAATATAAAGGACTAGGGGATTCCCTGCTCCCGAATGTGTCAGTCTTGTGTGTGTGGGCCTGGATTTCCCCCTCCCCTCCCTTTCTTTTTGTAGACTCACGAAGGGAGGGAGGGAAGGAGGGAGGGAGAGTGGGAGGGGTTAGCAGCCAGTTAGCTCAAAAAATGCAAGTTTTGCTTGTAGATACAAATAAATAAACCGGAGGGGGGCGGACAGTGCAACTGTGAAGTCAACCATTAAGGCTTGATTCCTTGATTCTCCAGAGCAAGCTGTCAGTGCAGAAAGGGCCCTTTTCTTATATGACAATTGAATGTCATTATATCATGATGTATCATGCTTGCTGAATCCTCAGCTTCCATTTTTAAAAAAGTTAGTCTCCAGCCCCTTTTGTTATGGAGGCGAACCTTTATCCTTACATCTTCACAACAAAAGGGGATAGAGACTTTTTTAAAAAATGAAAGCTGGGCCTTCAGAGAACCTGATACACACTCTGTTATAACTTTATACAAGTATTTAATCACTTTTTTTAATGCTGTTTGGTGGCAGTGGACAAAATAGGTGTCCCAGTGGGGGGAAATGGCTGCTATGTAGGTAGGATGGGGGAAATCGAGAATTTCCCACCCAAATGGCTGTCATCCAGGCTTCGCCAAAACTTTGCAGCAAAGCAGGCTTGGGAAAGGTCATAGAAAAACACAGAAAACCCTGGAAGGTGCATGAATGCACCACAATGCTGTAGGACAAGGGATCAATGAATGTGATTTATGAATGTGATTTTTGACATTTCTCCTGTCTTGAATATTATCAGCTGCCATTGTGCCTTCTTAGGAGCCTGATTATAGTATATTCAAATCTTAGTATTTAGCCCAGGCAGGAGAAACTTAGAATAGAAGAATATATTTTATATCTTATGGTTTTAATCCCTTTTAGAAGAAATAGAATTTAAGAAGCCTTTAGCAGTAATTAGAAAGCAATAGAATGGAATGCACCTGAGATTAACACCATAGTTGGAAAATACAAGCACCCCAGCTGAAGGAAATCTGAGAGTGAAATATGCATGGTAAAATAATAACTGTAAGGAATCTGGATGTTTCCAAACAATATCTTTCTTTGTAAAGCAAGGCACCAGGTCACAGGAAGTCTGCCAAAAGCTGAGTCCTATCTGAACTATTGGGCCTTATCAGGAAACTCCCCAGTACTTTGTTGAGACAGATGAGCTCTAAATGATGCCTAAAAGAAGGGCTGATTTCGCACTAGAGCTGCCTTGTGGTTGCGCCGCCGTTTGCCCTGACACTATTGGTCAATTTCACACCCGAAGCTGTGGGGCTGCATTTGAACCGCAACTTCCCCCGATTTCCTCCGCAGTTTTGTGATCCTCAAAAAACAGGATCACAAAACTGGGGGAAATCGGGCGAAGCCGCGAGTCAAAATG